GGGGGGGGAGGTGGTGTTTTGGACTTACGAATTGAGTTTTGATCGGCAAAGAAAACACAAACAAACAACCCCGCCCCGCCCCCCAAAAAAACCCCAACAACAACAAAACCAAACAACAAAACAAAACAACAAAACAATAACCCAACAAACAACAACCCCGAAACAAACAAACAAAAACAGCACAAAAAAACAATAACAAAAATTTTTAAAAATCAGGGGTAAATCGTATATGTGGGACGTGCTGACAAAATGAGTTACTTCTCGCACTCCACAAATGGAGATATCGGCAGAAAATCAACAAAGGAGTAAATTTTTAGACTCTCAACTGATGTCATTTTCTTCAAGTTTGCCATATCTTTTATTATTTCCAACTAATGAATTGTAAAAACTCAGCCTACCAATTCAACACATCTATTTCTACAGGACTAAAATAGGAGAAGCAACTCATTTTCTTGGCACGTCTAACATCTGTTTATTTACTGATCACAACAACTTTCCTTCCTAATCTTTTGATGTCATGTTTTCCTACAACTCGTTCTCTGGCCAAACATTTTGACGTGGGTGGTGGGCGGGTGCTCCGGTGTGGTTTGTTCCTTCTTTCCTTTCAAACGTCTATCGTCCTTATCTCTCTTTCTTCTTTTTTTGTGTTTGTTACTCTCTTGTAACACCTCTAATCTTTGGCACTTATATGACCTTATTGTGTTGCAGATGTCTTAAAACTCTTACTAAAACAAACACTTGACTGACTTGAGAAGCGACCTGCTACCAAACTAGTTTATAGAAGATAGATTGCAAACACAAAATGTGGGTGGTTGGCGGGTGCTCTGGTGTGGTTTGCTCCTTCTTTCCTATCAAACATCTGTCGTCCTTATCTCCCCTCCTTCTTTTTTGTGTTTTTTACTCTCTTGTAACCCCTCTAATCTTCTGGCGCTCATATGACCCTATGCAGTTGCGAGCGCCGTAAAACCTCTACTAAAACTAAACTGAACAAAACACAAAATGAAGATAATGATTAAAGTGTCTTTGAAGTTTTAATCCAATGTGTTTTATTCTCAAAATGTTTGAATCATAAAGTTAAAGGTATAGGCAAAGTTTTATATTTTTTCATTCGGTAGTTTCTGAGAATATACTGTTCGCAAAATTTGGCCTTAGCTCCATAAGTAGTAAGATTAGATCACCATGTATAGTGTTCACAATAACTCATCCTCAGGCCAAGCATTTCGATAGGGATGAGAAACGCCACATCTCTAAACTCCAGCTGATTGGTCATGTGGACGGGGAGGCGGACCGCCGGGAGATCAGCGCCCGCTTTGACCTTGACCCCGGAGGTTACTTCCTGGTGCCTTACTACCAGGCAGACTCGCACCAAGGGGAGTTCATCCTGAGGGTGTTGGCGGAGTCGGACATCGGGCAGGCCAAGGCTGGCTGGTACGGGCGGGGTGTTGGGTGGATGG